GCACCGGGGCACCTAGTTAAGGGAGCGTAATTAAACTTGCATGCCGCTTTAAGCAATTTATTGCGTAATGATACTCAAAGTATTCTAGGCAGTGACCAACCTACTTGATCGAATATATTCTTAGTTAAAAAGAATTCGCATTACACCACTTATCTGTGGTAGAGATTCGAATATTGTGGTTTTATAAAAAACAGCGCTATTTATTTTGATGATGAAATTGCTACTTAAAAATATTAGGTAAAAATCTAACAATCGCAGCAACGCTCATAAAACCTGTCGATATTTACAGAAAATCGTGGATAGACTTACGCTCACTGATCACACTGCTTCTTCTGTGTAGCCAATATTAGACATTATTTTGACTTTGCATTTATTGTGTTGAAGCCACAAAATTGGTAGTTTCTTATCCTTCTAATGCATGAAGCTCATTTAAGGCAAAATACCACCAGCGTTGTGGTGAGTAATCCCCGGCATCAAATCTCATAATTCACGAAAAGCGTGAGCTCATGCACAAAAGCACTGCTTTTGTTACTTACGCAATCGTTTTATGGAATTGTGATCGCCTTAAAAAATTACTTAGGAAACTAATTAAACCACCTTATTGGTATTAATTGTTAGGTTTACTGTTTGCACTAGTTCTATGCTTGATCCAAGCATGCAAAGCGTTGGGCAAATGCGTCACTCCTGTCAACCAGCTGCCAGTCAAAACGCTCTGTGTATCATGCTCAAAATTCTACTTGCCTATGGTTGTTTAGAGCCTTAAGAAAGATCCTTCATTTTGTCACAAATGCTTACCAGAAGAAGGTCGTAAAAGACACATGTACATTGTTCTCTTGAGAAACTTTTCCCCTTACTTGAGCTTTATAAAATTACCTATTAAGTGTGGTTGAAGGAGTCCCACATCTTACACTAATTTTTTTTGAGGTAGAGAAGTGGATTCTCGAAAACATTGCTCAGACAGCCAATTTGACGGCTACCAAACAAAGCCTCTGCAATGCTAAGGCTGCTGTAACGTCAACAGTTAAAACGTAATCTGTAAGGTGGTGGTTTTATTGCGCTGCTTTTGATATGTTTACGAGAGTGTGTAGGCTGCATTCAAGCCATTACATGCTACCGCAATAAAACTACACAAATGAATCATTGCCATTGTATCCATTGTCACGATTAGTCGACAAAATGTCATGCTACAACACGGATCAGGCGACCTTAATCAGGAGGTTAAGTACTTGGCTCTGGTGGATGTGTAAACTGGTATTTGTAGGGATTGAAGCCCTCAAAACGCCTAAGTGTGAATAAAAAAGCAAATGAATTTCAGTGTGCGTTCTCGATCCACATCACATCACTCAGGTGGCGTGTGTGTCTTGAGTAAAATTGGGCAAATTTTTTGGCAGACTTAGTGGATGTGGGTGGGTTGTCCACATTTTTTAGGCTTACTTGTTGTAATGCTTTGTTTATGTGACTATCTGACGTTTGGCGGAAACTTTGGGACTTGTCTGGGCCCTGTACACGTGGGCTGGCCTTCGGGCCACGCTCAGGCCCCATTCCTCCTATTGCTTTCGGAATACATGTATTCAACCCCACTTATGCCTTCTACTACCCATTGGAAGCCTCAGGACGCTACACTTGTCTCAAAGCTTAGGTGTGACTCATATCTCCACGCTTATAATGGTCACTGGTTTGAGCCTCACAGAGCTTACCTGGTGGTCTAGCCGGACAGTATCCCCAATGCACTACATATAGCTCGTCTGGACGTTTGGACATGCATCTGCGCAGTTTGAGGAGACAAGGATTGAGATAGGTGTTGCCATCACTGCCACACACCGGTTGGACTGCCGTCAGAGAGCACGTGAGTGCACAGTCTTTCTCTCTTGTTGCTGCAACCCCTTCTCCCTTGATGGAATTAACACCGTCCTGTTGAGGCTTCTCACCCTGTCCCTCATCGTCATGCGTTAAATGCAAAGCCTTGGCGATCAATTTGGAATGGTCATTCGATGGGGATCGAAAATGTCGCAGTTTGACTGGTTCTAAAACACAGTAAATGTTAATAATTTAGTAGAGAATCAGTCTCTCCTGCATCGTTCGGAGAGATCAGCATGAGTTACCTGTGTGGATAATGTGAAGGTTTTTTAGGTCTTTGCCCATTAAAAAAATGGCTGATTTGGTAAATTTCCAAGAGATGATTAAAAGAGAGACTTTTGTTTTTTGTGTTAGAACCTGCAAAGTGCGAAGTTTTAAAGCTCTGAAAAGAGTCGCACCTTAATGAAGAAGTACACGTACAAATGAATGACACTTAATAATTGTTTATCAAGCACTTATGTCTAGTGAGCCGAGGAAAAGTGCGGAGAAAGTCTAATTTTAAACTACCTTGTAGTTTGTTTTAACCTTGTACGTAAACAGCTATTTAAACTGTACTGGTAGACTCCGCGTAAAGCCTGTTAATCGCCGCCGTCTATGAATCTCCTCGGTTAAGTCTCCGATTTCACTTCTAGATTACTCACAAATAATTGTTTAAATACTTTTCTACTCTTGCACAGGTCATACTTTCACAGTGGAGTTGGTGTCAATCACCGGCAACCTGTTCCCACCCGTGAATGCAATACAATGCGCAATAG